ACACACACACACACACACACACACACACACACAGGCTGTCTTGGGAAACTCAAGGCAAGGGCCGAAATCCCAGAGCTGGAGCAGGAAAGAATGAGCTGGAGAGAGGGACAGTGTGGCACGAGGGGAAGGGACAGGAAGACAGCTGAGCTCTCGGGGACAGAAACAGAGGACAGCAGAGGGGGTGCAGAGGCCAATGCCCGCACCGAGGCTGGCGCCCGAAGAGGGGATAGCTAAGTTTTCTCAGGACTCCTAGCTGCACAGGATGGGGCTGAAGCCCAAGCTTGGGGGGGATTGGCAGTGGGGTGGGGACAGTGCAGAGGTCGCCAATTGTGACAACCACAGAATCCAGGCCTCTCTGGTCAGTGACCCCCGTTCCCGGAGGTGGGGGTGGGCTCACCTCCATAGTCCGGGGTGGCCAGGTCTTTATCGGTCTCAGACCTTCTCCCTCTGTCCCCTCACCTTCAAAACAGAGGTGAGAGGGGGGTCCAGGATGCCGGTCCCAGAGTGGCTCCAGATATATGGGTTTCTGGGCCACCTGTCAGAGAGCTGGGACCCGGTCTGTGAGCAGTTCCGGCTCCAGCCCAGAGAGAGGGGAGGGAAGGCGCCAGAAAGGGGCCTGGCCCGGGGCCTGGCCCACTCAGATGGATGGCGAACCGTCTGCCCAGCACCCGGCAGGCACTGGCTGCTCACGCCAAACGGTCCGCCCTCATCCCCAGAAAGCAGTCCTCCCAAGTGCTCCCGCGCCCAGAGCTGGTCTCCGCGTCCTCTGATCTGGCCCCATCGAGAGAGACCCTGGACATCTGGCTCCTGTCACTCCTTCCCCAAGTCTGACTGTGAGGAAATGAAGCCCACCGTAGTGGCAGAAATGGAGGTTACAGTGGCGGTGGGGGGGCTTTGAGATTCCCTGGGGGGGATTTGGGGGAGACATTTCCCAGCAGCTCAGGCTCAGGAAGGGGGAGACATGCGTGAGGGCAGAGCCTGAGAGGGCACAGAAGATGAAGGCTGAACAATGGGCCTGGAGTGGGAATGAGCCTGATCAGTAGGAAGTCTTGCCTGGAGTCTAACCTGCATCCCTCCTGCTGCAGGTCGACCTACCCCATGGCGGGGTCTTCAAGCTCTCCTAAGTGTAGCCCGGCCCTTAAGGGTGACGTTGGACACTAGCCCTGCAGCCTTCACTCCTGGAGGCTCATTGGGCTGGTACCTGACTTGGCCTGGCTGGGGACTCGGGGTCAGCCCCGTCCCTCTCTGCCTCTCTGGGTTCCATTTCTCAATGTCACCCCCCCTCCCCCTCCCTCCATTATGAGAGTGTAAGTGCTTTGAGATCTTCGGAGGAATATTCCGGGTTCTCACAGTGTCTGATAGCCAAGAGAGCAAGAGGGAGATGGCCCCTCCCATTTATTCTCACCCTCCCTTAGCCCACCCCCCAGCCTGGGACTGGGCGGGGGGAAGGGAGAGGCTGGATGGAAGCCAGACTGGCAGAGACAGGGGCTTTGTCCCAGCTGGTTTCTGAGCCAGGGGATCCGGTGGGAAAGCCCGTGCCAGGCAGAAAGGAAGGCTGGGAAGAAGAAGGGAGAAGGCAGCCAAGGAGGGGGTGGAGGGTGCTAGGAGTAAAGAGAAGAGTTTCCTTATAAGTAACGGTGGGGTAGGGAGAGGTCAAGGAGGGGCTGGGCTAGAGAGAAGTTGTGCAATGCCCAGGGTCAGTCTAGGAGGCCCTCCTGGAAGAGGCCAGGGGGGTGTGGTACTCAGGGAGGAAGGGACAAGAAGGGAATGTTGGAGGGGTGCTGGGGCAGGAGGAGGCTCTGGGTTCCAGGAAGGAGTCTGGCACTGGGAAAAGCAGAGGGAATTGTTAAGTATAACAGCACCCACCACTCCTGCTGGGAGCATTTAGTGAGCTCCTGCTGTATGCCTGCCGCTGTGCATCTGTACAGGGGTCCTAGGGTGGAAAGCACATAGCCTCCTTACACCCTGCGAGGTGGTTATGATGCTGCTCTTTTACAAGGAAGAAAACAAAGACCCTGAGAGCTTAAGGAACTTGCAGCAAGTTGACTAGCGCCCAGGTCTTGGTTCGGAGGAGGAATCCCTGGTGGGGAGACAGGATCAGAAACGAGGGTGTTAACAGTGAGGTGGGGACGCTGGGCTTCTTGGGCCAGGATATGCGTGCTCGGGTGCCGGGGGAAGTCCTTCTTGAAGTCTAACCCCATCTCTCCTCCTCAAGTCCCTCCAGCAGCCTGAGCATGGCCCCACTGTTCCTGCCCCTGCTGATAGCCCTGGCCCTGGCCCCGGGCCCCACGGCCTCAGCTGATGCCCTGGAAGGGGACAGCTCAGGTAAGCGACCCCACTCAGGGTCACTGTCTCTGTCTCCTCCATCTCCCCTATGGAAGGGAATGGCCTCGCTTTTCGTCCCACCAAACCGTTCCAGCCTTGGGGGACCCAGGGAGGAGATAGGATTGGGGGGGG